AACGAATATTGCTTCCAAAAATTTGGTAGCGTTATAACTTCATGAATCAAAATTTTTTAGTCCTGAAAATGTTTCTCTTTATATTTCTTGTGTGACTCCGGAATGAGCACGGATAATCCGCAAACCGGATAATACGCGCACGGATAATCGAGAGTGTACTGTATATACATTTGGTACACTATAATTTTTAAACGGGTGCAGCATTTTAGAAACATAAAATCCAGCATCATGGCAGCACGATGATGCGGCAATAAACTGACAAATTAAAGAAGATATACAGATTTAATTTAAAAAAAGGAAAAAATAAGGAAATAAATAAATATATATATTATATTACATACTTGAAAAATACAGTATTTATATATTTATCTACTTTTTGTAAATATTTAAATACGTGGAAAACAAGCACAGCAATTTATACAAAATTTTAGATAGGCTAATTTTACTGTCCTTAAATTCAAATTTTCAAGACTTCACAAAATTTACAAAATATTCAATGGTTTTTGACATATATAAAAAAATTTAACACAATATACAGTAGACAGTTTGAGACCCGATTCTTTAGATCAATGATTGGATAATAATTTTTATACTTTTTCTATAAAAGATGGCAAACACACTCTACATGCTAATTTTTCAAAACAGTAAAATTTTTATTATTAGGCTAAATTTATTAAACTATAAAAAAAAAACGATTATTTGCATTTAAACATCAAACACATAACAAATTCAGGAAAAAATATATATTCAAAAAATTGCGATCCAAATCTTTTCATAATTCCTCAATCAGAAATGAAATATAAAGAAATAATAAAGTTTTCAGTAATTTGAACCATTACATGGATGTTTTTCAATAAATAACCAATTCTACTTTATTTTCTTGTGATTACAATGTTTTATATGGGATAATAAACATTTTAGAGTCTCGACGGGAATAAAGTGATAATTAACCAACTTATTTAGGAATTGAATTATTGATTAGTTATTTTATTCCAGTTATCAGTAGCTGTGAACTAAGCTAAGCATTTAATAATATACTAACAACAACATGTAATTAAAATGAAAGAGCTTTTATGCACTTTCATGAAACTCTCATAAATTTTTCATTTTTTCATTGCATTGTTTTTGAATACAATGATAGAGAGTGAGATCATTTCAGACAAGATTGTTTTCTTACCACAGTTAATTGTTTGTAAAATTTTATAATAATTTAAATAATAATAGGCAAATTGGTTAGGTTTGGTGCAAAAGAGGTTTTATTCACATTTGAGTTTTAAACAGATTTTATTTGCACGCTGATCTATGTTTTTTTATTGTTATACAGTGGAAACCTGATTTTACGTTGTCCGTTTCGTACGTTATCCCGCTTCTTACGTCATTCTCTGCTGATAAGTGAAAATTGCCTATACCGCTAATGTTTAAAAATCCCGGATTTTGCGTTACTCCTCTTATAAAAATTCTGCTTGATGCGTTTTTCTACCAGCAGCTCAAAAAGAAATTTTTTTTCTACAATTCTCACACAAACTTTTTTCTAGTTTTTTGAACAAGAGAAACTTATTTTTCAGCTGTGTGGAGCAATTCTTGGATTCTTTCTGTTCCGCTTTGTGTATTTGTCAATGGTCGTTTCCTCAATTCTCCCCCGTGAAAAATGGTTTCACTCATTTTTCCGTGCTAGCATACCAAATAAGATTTTCAGTTGGTTTTGTTTGAGTTTGAAAGCTATAGCATTTTTTCTCATTTTCGAAACCTCCGTCATTGTGTTCTTTTCTCGAAAGATGTCGAACCAAAAATGCTTTTTCTGAGCGAAAAGGCTGAAATCGTCGAAAAAGCTAAAGAATTTCATAGCACTAAAGTTGATCTTGCTAAATCTTTGGGTATTGCGTATTCAACTTTGCAAACGATTTTAAAGCAAGAAGCTTCAGTAGAACTAAAAGCTAAAAAACTCGGAAAATATCCCAAGAAGAGAAAAACCCTTAAAACATCTCCAAATGATGAGTTAGAAGTTTTTTTAATTAACTGGTTCAAGGAAGTCAGAGCAGCAAAGATTCCTATAAATGGATCAATCCTGAGAGAAAAGGAACTTGAAATTGCTGAAAGGCTTAAACTACAGGGCTTCAGTGTATCAAATGGCTAGATCGATCGATTGAAAAAAAAGGAACAATTTATGCTTCAAATCTATCTGTGGCGAATCTGATAGTGTGGATATGACAACTGTGCAACAGTGGAAAGAAGAAACTCTGCCAAATTTATTAAAGGGCTATAATCTAAGTGACATATTTAATGCGGACGAGAGGGGATCTTTTTCAACCTATTGCCAAACAAGACTTT